AAACTGGATGAACAAACATTTGCATTTAAGAAAACACGAGAGACGATTAAATTTGCTACGCAATTGTATATGTAGTAAACTGAATGAACGAACATCTGTACTTAGGTTAAAGTTAGAGATGATCAGACCTATGAGGTCAGTGAATATACAGTACAATTTGGATGAAAGAAGATTCGTCTTTCGGATAATATGACAGACGATCACATTTGTGAAATGATTGTGTGTGTAGTACAGACTGGATGGACGAATACTTTTATTTGAAATAATATGACACGTGATCAGATCGTTGGTGTCACTTTATATATATATTGCAGAGTGTATGAACGAAAATATGTATTTCAGATAACTTTAGAGATGATTAGATCTGTGAGGTCACTGTATATATATATATATATATACTATAGAGCAGTTAAACGAAAATATTTTCAGATAATATAACAAATGATCAAATCTGAGAGGTCACTGTGTATATAGTACAAACTGTAAGAGCATACTCTTGTATTTAAAATATCATGACACTTGATAAGACGCGTGAGGTCGTTCTTATATGTAATATAGATTGGAGAAATGAACTGTTGTATTTCATAACTTGAAACATGATCAAGTCTGTTAGATAACTGTTTACATAGTAGAGACTGTATGAACGAACAATGTTTATTTCAGATAACATAACAGATGATCAGATGTTTGAGATGACAGTATATATAGTACAGGCTGGATGAACGAGCACTAGTACTTTAGATGATGTTACAGAGGATCTGATATATTGTTCAGAAACTACGCACGAACACTTTTAATCTAAACTATATGACAAATGATCAGATCTGTGTTACGACGCTCTATTTCTAGTGTGAAAGAACGTTTGTATTTCTCAAAACATGATAGATTATATAATTATGAAGTTTTGAGACTACTATTTGCAGGATAATAGATATATTTCTGTACAGCGTTTCGTCTATAACAGTGAGACATGATCAAGTACAATATTAATATATTTCGGATAACATGACAGATGATTAGATATCGCATGACACTCTGTACGTAGTACGGACTCGATGAACGAACATTTGTATTGCGGATAACATGATAACTCATCAGATTTGTGAGGCTACTGTATATATAGTACAGACTGAATGCATGAAGAATTGTATTTCAGATAAGGTTTCAGATCACCAGGTCTCTGAGGTCACAGCATATTTAGTACAAATCGTTCGATCGAACTCTTGTAATTCAGATAACAATACAGATGGTGAGATTTGTGAGACCACTGTATATGTAGCACAGACTGTATGAATGAACACTTGTATTTTAGATAGCATGATGGATGATCAAATCTCTGAGGTACAGAGGCGTCACTAGGTGCTTAAAATATTCGGGGCTCGGACCCATAGGTGCGGGAAATTTCGGCGTTTCTCTATGATATCGATCATCGATTTCGATTCTAATTTTTCAAGACACCAATTAAGGATTTGGAGCACTGTCAAATAGAATCGGGGCACGGGCCCCGTGTGCCAGTGCCCAGCGTCGTCTCTGCTGAGGTTACTCTGTATACAGTACAGACAGGATCAACGAATACTTGTATATCAGGAAACATTAGAGATAACCAAATATTTGACATCATTATATATATATATATATATATATATATAGTACAGACTCGGTGAACGAACATTTGTATTTCGGAAAACATGACACATG